ACTTCTCGCTCGTCCAGTTTAAGCGGTCGCGAAACCTTGACCTTGGACCGCTCAAAGTCATATACCCGGTAGCCTTTCACATTCTTCGCGTATTCGAGAAACATGCACCCGAAGGTCTTCGACTACAGCTTCGTCCTCACGTGTCATCTAGCCTATTCCGGCGGGGGACGCCGCAGCCTATTCCGGCGGGTGACGCCATGCGATCGACTGGTTACACGCACGACGGACCGTGCGAGGTGTGGCTCGACGACAAGATGGTGCTGGATGGCGACAACTGTCACGAGAAGTTCCCAGGCAAGGACTACACTGTGGACTACTCGTCATGCAAGGGCACGTGCACGCTGCGCTGGTACTGGCTGGGCATCCGCTTCCTGAAGAACAAGTACTCGTGGCAGGTGTATAAGGCCTGCATCCCCTTGGCAGGCTCAGGTGGCTCGGAAACGACACCAACGACGTCGGGATCTGGCACAGAGAGGACGACGTCAAAGACGCCATCGCCAGAGACGCCTGCGTGGGGAGGAAACTCTCCTACGACCTGGGGCTCGCCTACCTCGGGTCAACGCCTGCGTAACTAGGAGGGCTCGACTCGAGGGAATAGTCAACAAAAAGGCGTGTATGTGCTGTGCTGAAATACACTTGTGTTCTTATACTGGGAATACATGTACCTCAGAATGAGTAATGGACAGCCCACACAGGTGAGCGTAACGTAAATGGGTCAACGTTCGGACAACATCCAAAATATCGTACTTAGTATGTGATTAGACTGGAAAAAGCAAAAAGACGTTATTCTTTCGGTTTGTCAATCTGCGCCAGTGGCTCCGTCAGCGGCGACGTTGGTGGCGGTGAGAGCGCAGGCGGCGATGGCAGCAGCGATGTAAGTCTTTATTATTGAGTTGGTTAGTAGAAGAAGTGGAGAAGCGGATGATGTTTTTTTGAGCGGGCTAATGCTAACGTTATTCTTTCGGTTTGTCAATCTGCGCCAGTGGCTCCGTCAGCGGCGACGTTGGTGGCGGTGAGAGCGCAGGCGGCGATGGCTGCAGCGATGTAAGTCTTTGGTTTTTTAGCATCTTTTCGTCCATCCACTGAGCTAATTGGAGCAGATGCATGTGCAGCCGCCGTTGGATATACGTACCAGCAACATCTAGCTCAATATTTTACGTAAACATGAAGGAAAATGACCCTTACCGTTAAAGTAACAAATTGTTGTTTGATTTGACAAACTGTACGTAACGATAAAGGAAATTGACCATACAGTTGGAATCAACATCAACGGCAATCTGCAATTTACAGTCATGGCAAAACGACGATATGCCAATGCAGCTGAAGATGAGTTATCTTGTACAGGAAAACCTGATGCAATTCAGGCCACTGCAGCGCAAGAAACAAAGCGTCAACGAAAAGCTCAGTACCGCAACGGGACCTCCGATGAAGCTTGAACCTGACGTGAAGAGACGCAAAACCAGCTAAGCGTTGGCAGTTTTGGTTGATACCAAATACATTGCCCAGCCTTTAATTCTACTTTGCTATTGACAATTATGCTAACAACCGTATCAAAAAAAATTAGCCATCTTAATGTTAGCTTTCCGAACCTTTTTTGTCGAAGAATGTCTGGGATCACCTCCCAGTCGCAGGGGGTCCCCCCGCAGAGACAGCAAATGTCGACATATTTTTAAAAATATGTATTCCCAGTGTAAGTCGCAGACGATCTAGTTGTGTACTTCGTACTACGTTATTAATAGTAGATGTTTGCGCTACGGTGGCAAATACTTCTCATGCTACCAGTGATCATGGTCTGTCCAGCTTCTTGATCTACAGATGACTAAGCTCAGTGCTCCTGGTATTATACTTCCATACGGTTCGAATGAAGAACGACACCGTGCTGCGAAGTATAATTCATATGGACAGCTTTTAGCCCAGGGAACCCGAAAATGCAATACTAAGATTAATACATCGATATGAGCTGAGAAAATTAAAAATTCAATTATTTGCATTATTCCGGCCCATACTCGAGCGTACCTTGTCCACCGCACTCAGGTCCCACAAGTCGCGATTGTAGTTCAAAAACATTATCATCTCAAGCCTGGCTGGAGACATTCGCTTCCGTAGATCAGACAGCACCAGCTTAGCAAGAGAGAAGAAGCGCTCACACTCGTTAGACGTTGGCGGGGATGTACGCGACGTCAACGTAGTGCGAGCGCTTCACGACCTTGCGTTTCTTGAGCGCTGCTCTCACAATAGAGCACTCCTCGGCGACTCTTGAAGACGACCGTTCGAGATCAGGGGACCTAAATTCAGCGCAGGCTAATTTTTTCGCGACGTTTAGCGCCTCCCCACGCTGTAACTTGACTAGACCTTGCTCTAAATTGGGGTTGTTCACTATAGATGCCGTTGTTGACAGCCGAGGCTGTAGGGCTGGGTATTCTCTTCACAACCTGGTCAAAAAGACGTCGCGAGCGGACAAAGTTAGCGTAGACTTCTGCTGCTCCTTGGTAACGGCTTCAAAAGCTGCTAAATCTTTAAGAAGCGCCTTGACGCGCTCGTGCTCCGCACGCCGTAGTAGGAGAGGTTGCACATCATGCTCCACGAGGACATTGAGGGCCAAGCTGAACAATTGCCGGCTGGAGTTGGGCGTGGCGCTCTAC